GGTGTTCCTGGATAGCCCGGAGAACCAGGAGTACCTGGAGAACCTGGACTTCCTGGGGTTCCAGGAGAGCCGGGCGTACCTGGAGAGCCTGGACTTCCTGGAGTTCCGGGAAAGCCACCCGTACCTGGGGAACCAGGAGAGCCACCCGTACCTGGGGAACCAGGAGAGCCACCCGTACCTGGGGAACCAGGAGAACCACCCGTACCTGGGGAACCAGGAGAACCACCCGTACCTGGAGAACCAGGGGAGCCAATATCGCCATCCCATTGCCCACCATTATCTCCGATATCACCGTTCCATTGTCCATTATTTCCACTTTCGCTTCCACTTTCTGAGCTTTGCTTGCAATTCTGTCTTGCAACAGCCCAGGCGTGATTGCATGCTTGAATTTCTGGATCCCAAACAGTTCCTACGCCACATGTAAATTCGTACTGTCTAAAATTTCCGTAGCCCTCGTCTACGCATCTGTAGAATTTTCCACAATCACATGTATCGGCTAAAAATCCTTCTTGTGCACATTGCGGTCTATTTTGACAATTAATAACATTATTTTCAGATTGATCTGAGATTGGTCGGCTCGTTTGTGGCGGTTGTGTTATTATTTCTGGTTTTGTGGTTGTTGCAAGAACTTCAGTCGTGAGAGTAGATGGTCGCATAGTTACAGAAGTTTGTGCCGTGATTAGCTGTGTAGTCGTTCTCGTTGTTGTTGTCCATGTGGGCGAAGAAGTATCTGGCGATTCAGGCAGATTCGAATCAATTGCATTTTCAGATGCGCATTCAGGTCGCCCGCCATCTTCTGGATGCGTGCAAATATCTCCCTTGTCCTTCGAAAATACTGTGCCTACTCCACATTCGAACCTGAAGGTTGTTAACGGACTGCCGTTGCCCCAATCCACACATCTGTAGTAAACTCTGCAGTCTTGTGGATCAGGATGATAACCCTCCTTTGTGCATTTGAAAGGAGCAGTATTCTGTCTGTATTTATCATATTCATAATAATCTGTAATTCAATGCAAATAGTGAATAATCAAATTTATATCCATAAGAGAAGATGATCACAATATAATTTACGTTACAAATAAAAATAAAAATATCGAGAATATAAATTCCATTTTTCAATAGATTTAATTTTTTGTGAAAGAATATATTAAGTAATTCTTACCAGCTTTCGTCAGTCTTGTTAAAATTAGCGCTACTAAAACGCTGAGAATCGAAGGTGTTTTCCACATCTTTTGCTTCAAATTTTATCTGTAATAAGGAGTGTAATAATTAACAATTGCAACGTTGACATGAAAATAATTCATAATAAGTAATATTTTTGAAGCATGTTTACATTACTTCTTAATGAAAAATTGTAATTTATAACATAAATAGTTCCACGTGCTTTAACAACATCTTAGCTTATTTCTATCATTTGTTATCGTTAGTTGCGTTTATTCTATATAATTTTTCTCTCCTACGAGCAATTTACATTACAGAAGATTTTATAGTACAGTGTGAAATATCGTAAACATTTTGTTGCACGGTGCTTTGCCGCACGTATAAGGCATAACGAAGAGCTGTTCAGCTGTTTACTATCGAAATGTAAACGGATATCCTAAGCTTCGGATATAAATGCGAGATAGTTCAAAGATCCGCGCCAAGTAATGAGGGGCTGTTAAAGGGGTTAACGTGACTTATTTATAAACTGATTCAGACAGGTCCACCACCTGCGGTTGCTACTTCGACGATGCAAGCAACTTGCAGCAGCCTCGAACGAATCTCAAGGACAACATGCCTGGCGTATCTTGCGGTTTGTCGTGCAATTAACCCGCCCTTCGTCGACGGATATCTCGACTGGCAAAAATCGACATCGCTGAATTAATCAGTTTCCTTTTTTCTCTCCTTCTTTCTTTGGCGTCGTCGCGCCGCGTTCTTTCAACTTCTTTATGCAAATGTCCTGCGATCGCAAATGCATGTACGGAAAAATATTTATTTAATCGTTACGCATATATTACATCACAAGGATATCATGCTGTTTTTGCTTATAGTACGTAATCTGGATTTAACAAGATAATTGCTCCTTTACTTTGCGTGCTTGCTTGTAATAATCATTGACATTTACTTTGTTAAAACATTAATTTAATTTAAATATAAAGTAAATGCAATATAATTTAATAAAGTAAATGAAAGATTAATGAAAGATTGATGAATGAAGAAAATGCATATTATCAGAGCTCAGTTTATTTTTAAGCAGAATTGACAATCATTATAACTGTAGCATTCTTTAATCTTTTTTTTTTTTGTTATTTTTTAAATAAAAATTAAAAGCCATAAAAATTGCTGACAAATTCATCCGAAATCTTTTTAAAAAGTATACTGACATTATTAAGATTATAACTATAGATAATGTGAATATTTAATTCACATATCAAACATATCAAAATAGTATAATATGCTATATAAAGATAAGTGTGCTAATAATATTTTATTTACTTTTGCATCCTCGAGTATTCGTAAAAGATTTTATCGCACGTATCACAGAAAATTACCTTACTACCGGCCTGCATATTATGGCTCTCAGCGCATATTTGGAAGTTTAAGATCCACTATAATCTATACTGATAACGTTAATAAGAAAACGCGCAATGCGTATACAGATGACATGCAGTCAACAGTTGGATGCGCATTTTCTTCTAAATGTGCAATCATGAAAATATCTTTATTGCAGTCTTGAAGGGCTTGAAAAAGAGAATACGCGTAATGACATACGCGTGGCATTAACCTTGTAATTATCGACAGTTACTATGCATCTTCTTCTTCATTTTCTCCGAGATTGAAGATTTACGGTTTTTTTTAGAAAAATGAGAAAGAACAAGAAATTCATCAGTTTGAATTGATTACACTCGTAATTTAATTGTGGTCATGGAACGTCAATCAATATAGTTATTGTGGTTCACATCAACAGCTCGACTAGTTAAAAATTATCTGATTACAGATAATAAATTATTTCTTGATTATTTGCTAAAAGATCGATAACGTGGCTGAAATAGATATTGAAATTTTTATAAAGTAATAAAAGTGTGCAACTGTATACCGTAACGATTTTTATATGCATTATAAAAGAAATTTTTTTAAACCATACATTGTTCACTATTAATTTACATAGATTGTGTTTTGTGTGATTATTAGGCAAAACGTTTACGTTTTACAATTCTTCAAATTATGAAGTTGATATCTGCACGATTATGCCAAAGATAATTTTTTTAAAGTAATGTTTGATTCAAGTAACTGCACGCAAAATAAAGCGTGACCTCGAATTAAAAACGATCATCGAAGTCCTCGACACGGTGAGGCTTGTTAATTGCACACATTTCAGGAAATCGAAATTTACAGTTAATGTCGTCGTCAAACGTCGCTGATAATATTGAAAAATTAGCAAATAATATAAATATATATTTCTCTTTCCTTGAATGTGTCCTTTGCACGGTGAAACATTGATTTGACTCACTCAATTATTTTTTATTTGATAATCGATAATTAACATAATAACTTATAAAAATATTTTAGAAAACAAATTCAACTATAATTTGCAATACTAAACAGCTTTTTCTCTTTTATTTTGATAAACTATAAAATTATAGTATTAAAATAAGTACATCTTAGTGATAAAATTTCAAAGTTTCAAATTACCGCGGCAAATCGCTCCAATAAAAACAAATAGAGACAAATTAGTGTACAAATTGCTAATACTTGTTTTAGAAAATCGATGAGAAGATTTGCAAGGCTACGTCTTGTGCGGTACATTCACACAGAAGCAAAGGAAACGTGTTGTACCCTGACGAAGAAAATGGTAATATCTCAGAATTACAAGCAATGCTCGGTGCAGTGAACCCAAGTTGTTATGATAGTATGCGCATAAGTGCAACCTTGCCGTTGAAAGTAGCAAGGTCGTTTCTTCTCCCGCCAATTCCACTTTTACCCTTTCTGCCGGCACACCGATGCACGCCGATGGCTATGTGTGTGTGAAATGGGAAATTTTACCGTAATAAACTGCACACGGTAAAAAAATATATTCGTTTGGACCACCATTCCTTTATTAAACAGCGATCAATTATTTCTTATCCGGGAAATATACTTCAAATATTTAGACTATTTATAAAAAAGAACTATAATTAGACTTATTTTATATATTTGTTTATTATCTTAAGTTTATTCTCGTTAAACACATATTAAACCGATGTTAAACGGGAAATGATGAAACTTCTCTTCAAGCATTATCCAAGATGTTTGAATGTTTCATTATTTATCGTATTATAATACAACCTTGCATTGTTGGATGAGATCGTAAGAAATAAGGCAAATTCCTCTCACAGCAGCTGACGTTAATACTGCATTGATTATTACGGCAGACAATTATTATCTTAAAATGTACTTATAAGTATTGTAGAATTCAATA